AGACAGAGCCTCAAGCTGTCCCCCTGGGTAGAGTGCTGTGGCCTCACAGCTCACAGCAACCTCCAACTCCTGGGCTTAAGCAAGTCTCCTGCCTCTGCCTCCCAAGTAGCTGGGACCATAGGTACCCAACACAACACTTGGCTATTTTTTGGTTGCAGCCATCATTGTTATTTGGCGGGCCGGGCTGGATTTGAACCTGCCACCTTAGGTGTATGTGGCTGGCGCCTTAGCCACTTGAGCCACAGGCGCCGAGCCTGGAATCAATTCTTGATGACAACTAGGTGACCAGCAATCAGCGAAGGTGCTGGGGTGGGGCAGCAGCCTGGAGGCAGGGCTCATGGGGCAAGAGCAGTTTGGGCTGGAAGCAAGTACAGGCAAGCGTTCAAGGAAGAAGTAGGTTCCTGTGGCCAGCACTGGCAGTTTGCAAAAGGTCCCAAACCCAAGGGCTCTTTGACACTAAAGTGAGGATGACAGCAGAGGTTTTGTGACTCAGGACAGTCCTTCTGGTGGCCACAGAGGTGGGAGGGAGGAGAGGCTGTACTAGGGGGCAGGACCCTGTGCATCTGGAGCAGTGGCTGGAGGTGAAGGTGAGGATACTGGCCATGGCCACAGAGGCCAGTGAGGTGGCCTCTCCTATAGCCTCTGCCCCTTTTCTGCCTCATTCCTCGTCACACTTCCTGTGAGGACAAGGCTTCTCCATGTCTCCTGGGGTGTCGAGGGGGCTCTGCCCTGGGTCTGCGGCTGAAAGGAGTGGCATACAGGGCAGGATGGAGATCCTCAGTCTGGGTGGGGTAGAGGTAGTGTCTTCCAGGCATGCTGTTTGTAGGATCCTACTGCCCTCTGCAGGAAGATTCTAGAATCACATCATTCAAGGCCCTCAAGTCTCAACTTCAGAGTGAGAGCTAATCCCAAAACGCAGCCCAAGCCGGCAGCAGAGGTGTCCAGCACCTCGAAGTGCCCCAACGTCACCCTCTGATGGCAGGCATCAAGCCCATCTGATGTGTCACTCCAGGAACCTTACTTATCTTGCCTCAGCCTGGTGAGGGGCTATCAGTATCCATATTGAGGCGTCCAGAGAGGCACAGGATATACCCAAGAACACCGGCTGGTTAAGGGACAGTGCTAGGGCTCAAACCCATATCCATCCACCCTGCTGACCTGTACCCCCGTGCTGGTCCACACACCTTCCTGATGCCCAACCTCCCTCACTGCCAGGGCTCAGCCACCATCCCGCTGTCCCCTCTACATGTGCTCTTTGCTTCCTGGTGCTTATGTGACATCTTGTCGTCTCATTATTTGTTTGTCTAGGGTCTGCCTCCACACCCCAACTAGAACACTGCTCCAGGAGGGCAGGGGCCTTGTCCTTCTGGTTTACCACATGGGTCCCTAGATCCCAGAGCAGAGCCAGCCCACAGTAGAAACTCAAGATCTTGGTCAAGGCAAACTTCCTCTTTCATAACTGCTCCCCGCAGTGTGCCCCCTACGGCTGTGAACTTTCCAGATGACTTCAGTCCCTACGGGGGGGGCGGGGGGGGGGGGAGTCGGACCTCCCCCTAACCCAGGCCAAGCTGCGGCTTTACAACAGCCCCTGCCAGCTGGACTCCAACCAGAGCTGTGGGTGATGCTGGGCCCTGCCCTCCAGCTAGGTAGGTTCTGTCCTTGGTACTCCCTACCCTCTCCAGCTGTTCTTTGCCTCCACCTCCTCAACCCTCACCTCCTCCCTAGCCAAAACTCTATCTGGATGCTCATTGGGTCTACAAACCGTTTCCTTTTCCATGGTGCACATTTGCGCTTAAAAACCGTATTAACCCAAGAAGCTGTCTTCTTCATTTGCAGATGAAGATACAAAGAGCATCTGTCCAACTGACAAATGCCCACCTCCTGCCAGGCCCTTCACACGACCCTGGCCCTGAAGGCCACCTGTGGCTAACGAAGACTGTATTTTAGTAACAGCAGTCCCCTCCTGGATCATGGAAGAAATTAAGATAAAGATAATGTATGAATCATGCACAAATGATATCCATGGGAAGTGGGCACTATTCTGCCCATCTTTGAGGTGAGAAGACTTTAGGCCACAGACTTGTCCATGTTCCCACACAGAGCCCCACACGGTGGAGCAGTCAGGACAAAACCACATGACCCACACTTATCATTCACCACATTACATGGTCACAGAAATTACCCCAAAGTCCCAAAGACATCAAGCCTAGGGGAGGGTCTTAGCAGCAGCAGGAGCAACAGGGGTTTCTGCAGGACAGATCTTTGCTCACTCCAGCGACATCTCTCATTTCACAAGAGAAGAGGCCGGCTGGACAGTGATGGCCCCAGTGGGGTTCCAACCTCAAGATAAGATGGAAGGACTGGTGCAGGAGCTTTAGTTAAGACAAAACTTTGTCAAAGCTGGTCCTGCTCCTTTAAAAAACCACAGGCTGGAATCTGGAGCCCAGAATGGCCTGGCAAACTGCAAGGACTTGGGTTTCAGTAAGTGACCTTTCTGTTGGCACTAATTGAGGAGGGCCTGCCTCAATGCCAGGCGTGCAAGGACCTGCCAGAGAAAAGGGAGGAGGGAACAGGCAGGGGCCTTGGGCCTGCCATTTCCAGTAAAAGGCAGACATTTTGGCACACAGCAGTTTTGAAGCCTTGTTGCTATTGTAAATCAGAAGCTGATTATGGCAGCACTTGTTCTTAAGGTTTGCCCAAGTCATTCCAGCTGAGTCCTGAGTTAGGACTTGACTGAGAGTCGAAGTGCTTTACGGACATGAGGAGCAGCCCCAGCTCTTCTCCACCTTTCACTCAGGAACTGCATGCACTGCTATACCCCACCTCCCACACAGGCCAGGGCTGGCAAGGGCCCTGCATCCCTGGACGGACAGTCACAGGAGCTGACCCCTCAGCTGAGTGGACACATGGGCTTACATGGTGAAGAACTAAGGACTTAAGGTCTGAGTTTGGTCTCAGTATTAGAATAAGTATTAGAATAAGCCCTTGGGTCTGGGCAACTTCTCCAACTCCCATTCAGACGGAGATCCCCACCCCAGGCCGTGCCACCCTTCCTGTCTGAGCTGCGCCAGAGCTGGGCCTGCCCCCAGCTAGACTGCTACAGTTAACTTCATGTCAGTGTTTCCATTATTAAATGCCACCCCTCCCCCCTTATAACTCAACTGTTAAATTGCCCTCAAAGCTAAAGGCTGGCAGATGAGGTGCTTTTATTTCCTTCACGATAGAGAGGGTGCCCTTCCAGGTCTCCCAGAATCCTCCTTGGCAGGACTCACACTGGTGAAATGAAGGGCAGTCCTGATGAACTATTGATTTCAGCAACTCAAGTGCAAGGCTGTGGGCTATGGCCTGGTCAGCAAACTGTTAGCCTCGACAAATGGCTACGCAGGAATATAAAAATGCAGAAAGCTGTGGTGCTAATGTCCTGGACCCAACAACACAAATAGTCTTGAGTAGGGGGAAAACACAAGTTTTAAAGGCTCTATTTCACAAGCTATCAAAATTCAGGATGTGACCCAACAGCCAACAAGAGGGAGACAAGAACTCATCCGTACTCACACAGCTCACACCCAAATGCAATGCAACGTGTTAGCCCAATTCTAAAAATCCTCAGTAACACTTTTTAATATACAAGAATCAAAAGTACAGCAGTTTTACAATGTAGGAAAATTTAATACATACTATATAAACAACATTATTTACATCAGAAATCACTAGGACAGTGGCATTTTTCACAAATATAAATTAATTACTGTTTAGTCAACAGGTTTTAAAAGTCCACAATTTTACAATAAAGAAAAACCATCTATCCCCAAACGAGCGGGGTGCAGATGGACTAAAGCAGCCTGGACCCTTGGCATGGCCCCCCTTGGCCCAGTGTGGATGCCCTCGGAGGAGCCCGAAGACCATGGGCACTGAGCCTGGGCCACCGCTCCTGCTGACAAGTGGATTTTGGTCTGTAGTATTCAGTGTCATCATGTGAACTCATAAATGAATCGTGTTTACACTGCGAGGCCTGATGCAACTCTCAGACACAATCAGGCTGGGATGTCCGCAGCACGGTGTGAGAAGTGCTTGGGTTCCTTCGAAGGGCATAAGGAATGACTCAGGGAGAACTGGCTGAGGGCTCTGGGAGGCCCCCATCTGTCCACGCCAGCCCGGCGCTGACAGACTGCAGTGATGAGCCCGGGGATTCGCCTCCCCTTTCCTAGGGCCAAAGCGCCAATCCTTGTCCATGTGCAGGTTTTAGGGGATGCTAACTCTCCCCCTTCCTAAACCCCTGCTATTTCTACTAATAATGAAGTCTTTCAAAGCCAGGCTCCATAGAATACCATCCTCACAGATTCCTGGGGCAGATTCTCCCATCCACAAGTGAGAGAATTTCTAGCTGTGCAAATTTGTTTTTGATTTATGCATACAATATTCATACTGATTTAAAACAAAGAGGAAATGCCTTTTTCCCAATGTCCTCTTCAAAGGTTATTTCACACCTGAAATAGACGTTTAATGGGGACACTGTAATTTTAGAATCAATGTAACACTGATCTGGCTAATATTGCCTTTTGCTACTTCATATGGCACTAAAAGACCTGAATGTGAACAAAAGGTTCCTTTTTTCTCATGATGAGACATCTTTGGGAATAATTCACATCTCCTATCAACAACTTGGAAGCAGCCTGGTGAGTATGGAAATGTGGGGCCTCCAGAGATTCCTATGTCCTTCTCACTCCTGGAGGACACACTCGAATTGCTGTGGGGGCTCAGCCCCTTCCCACCCCCAACTCCCATCACTCAAGGGCTTGGCAAGCCAACCTAACATTCCTCTTTGGCTTGGGCAAGATAAACACAGGGTAGTGTCAATGTTACAAGCAAGAAGTTGCATCTGTGGGTTCCTCATCAAAATGTGGCCAAAGTGGAGATGCAATTTCCTTTCTTCTCCACTGAGCAGCAGCAGGCCCTCCATGGGAGGACTGTGGCCCCCACACAGTCACTGGGGCTTTGCCCCAGGCATGCATGGAACAAGTCCAGGCTGTACAACCCACAGTACCATGAGGAATTAAATACACAAGCAGTGGGTCCGCTGAGCTGCCAACACAAACTTTAAGGACTGAAACTCTCATCCGACTCAGATCAGGCCAGTCCCCTGATGCTCTATGTACCAAAAAGCACCAGCCCACCAAGGCTACATCTGCTTCACTTGGGGGATGCAGCTCAGCATGTCTTGGTAAAGGCATTATGGTGCTACCCGGGCACCAGCAAGTGCATGACAATAGTTTTATGAAGTCCAAGTTAGTGCAGGGAATTTAACCCTGCATGTGCCAAACACAAGGGTTTTCGCCAACTCTTGAGAGCCTGGACACTCACGAGCACACTGCAGTTCAAGTCAGTTGTTATGTCTCCATCCAGAAAAGCTTTTGGATACTCGGACAATACTGGCAAGCTATACTGAAAATGAATAAAACTGAAGGCCCCTGCATCAGTAATTGAAAGAACCTGCTTAAGTGATGCAACCAACTTGCTTCCTAGTCCGGACTCAATTCAACTTTAATATGGCTCTTACTAGGTACAGCTCAGTCACTGTGTCCTTGAATGTTTCCTATTTCAGAAAAAAATTAGCTTAGGTTTATCCTTGATCTTATTCTAAACGGAGTTCAATTCTAGCAGTTTCCAACTAGCAATAGAAATTTCTTCACCACAGGTTAACTTGTTTTCCTCTGCCTACCACATGAATGTCAGGAGATATGTGGTTCTGTATAACCTACTTCAAGCTATGCAAAGGGAACTCAAATGCAGGACATGCTGACCTCCCCCTATACTGAAAGCTTCCCCCCCTTGCCGGCACTACAGCCCACACTGGAACACCTGTTCACCACCTGCACCAGCACCCCCATCTCTGTGCTTGCCAGCAACAAGCTGGTCAGCAGGCCTGCCTCTGCTTCCCCATCCCTGGACCTTGTTTCTTTCTCCCCACAGGAATCAGAAATCCACCAGGGATTCCAGTTCCCTGCCCACACTACACCCCTCATCCCCACCTTATCCCCACCCTGTCCCTCACTCAGCCCACCCCCCAATCAAGTAAGACCCATGCTGGCGTCAACACTGCCTAACTCACAGTACTCCAAAATCAGCCAAAGGGGCCCTACTTTCCCTGTCACAGGGGGAAAATGAGGCCCACTCAGGAGACAAAACCTTTGAAATGTACAAAGACGGTGTGGGGAAAAATTAGTGTTGGCAGAGTAGCAGCTGCCAGGGAAGTTGTTTCTCTCTTTCCTCCCACCCAAACCTCTACCTGAAGGGATGAGGATGACTGTATCTTTTCTCCCCAAAACACATTTCAGGGTGATTCTTGTTCCCCTTCAAGTCTTCCAATGTGAGGCCCCACCCACTCGTCCCTCCTCCCCATCAGCAGCATCCACTATGTCAGAGTGAACCAGGTCACACATTGTACCACCAGGTCCCGGCAGCCTTGAGGCACAAATTCCTTGCCCTGACCACCGCCCCGAGGTCCAGGGAACACTGGCCCTGGCAATGAAACATTCATGACTCTGAAGATCCCCTATTTTTTCACTGGGGGAACACAGCCCAGTGAAGCTGGTACACAAAGAGTCACCTTTCCTCCTAATGGCTCATCAAAGTGGGAGGCCAGAACCAGGCTGGAATGGGATGAGGTGCCAAAGTGCAGGAGTGGTGACCCAAACGAAAGCTGGACCCAACGAAAGGCCTCCCACTCCATGAAGTGCTCCTCCAGCCAGTGAGCTGACAGCAGCTGCACGTCCAGAAGCTCCACTCACTGGTCTAGATAACTGGCTACTGCTGGATCAGACCAAAAATATCCATGTGTTTGGTGACTCTTGTTCTCCTCTTTCTGAGCTGTCCTTTATGTTTTCCGAACATTCCAGTTATAATCTGGGTTGTTTTTCTGTTCTAGTGATCTCTCTAAAGGAGATCTATGATCCAGGGGTGACTTGGAATCGTGAGGAGATTTCTGAGAAGGGGGTGAACGAGGATCTGAGACTGCCGGGTGTAAGGGGGGCAGGGGCTGCTTATATTCCCCCAATTTGTCTGTGTGGAAAGAGCGGTAATGGTCTGAGGGTCCCTGTCCGTGGTAGCCCATGGGGGGGCGGTGATCAGACATTCTGCGGAAATCCTGCTGGTGGTAATTTTGAGGCCTGAATTCGTCAGATCTCCTCCGCTTGGAGTCATGATGGTGCCTGAAACAGACAAGCAAGGATTAGCTGAGAGTCCAGAGGCTGATTCCCACCTACTTCTTCATCATCCACTGGCTCTTCCTCATATACTCATGTTTAAGGACATTTCCAACAGATTCTTGGACAAACATTTAAATTATAAGAAAAAAAAACCCTAAAGTAATAAAGGGTCATTTTATACTTACTGGCAAAACATATCCCATGAAATGTATGCCTAAAATCTGCAGTATACAAATACGTGCCTGAAGGAATCACTCATGTATTTATTCCCTCCAGAAAAATACTAACAAAACCTATGAACATTTTTATATTCCCTGACCAAGCCAGGAGAAAAAGAACCACAGAAATTAAGTTATTAGTAACAGCAAAAAACCACCATCAACCTAAACATTCAACAAGAGGTGAAGGGTTAATAAAATTATCTTAAAACATTATCGATGGGTCGCAAGTTAACTTGTGTTTTCATGCCCAAACGTGTCTGCATTTATGTTAGCTATTACAATTTTTAAAACACAGGGTAATGTGGGATATTGTAAAAGCTTTCTTGATCATGTCACCAGAATAAGAGCCACTGACATGGGACAGCTTCTGCATAAAATTGGAGATCAATAATGTGTTAAAAATGTGGTATTGAAATTTCAATATTGAATATTGAAATTTTTAGCTTGGACCATGGTAAACTGCTCTTTATACTATTCAAAGAGAACTGGCATATATATAGTCAGTTTGTTAGATAGAATGAACAATATTTGACAGCACAACAAAGTGACTATAATCAGTAAGTTAGAGTATGCTTAAAAAAATAACTACAAGAGTGGAATTGCAATGTTCCTAACACAAAGCAATGATAAATGCCTGAAGTGATGGATGTCCCAATTACCCTGACTTGATTAATTCACACTGTATACCTGTACCCTATAAAATATAAACAACATATGTACCCATAACTAAAAATTGAAAATTAAAAAAACAAAAAAATTAGCCCAACATGGTAGTGTCTGAGGTCCTGGCTACTTAGGAGGCTGATAAGGGAGGATTGCTTGAGCCCAGGAATTCACTGCACTCTAGCCTAGGCAACCTAGAGAGACCGTGTCTAAAACAAAACAAAACAAAACAAAAAATAAAACAAACAAACAAACAAACAAAACCCCAGAAAGTAAGTGTTGGCAAAGAACACTTAGAAGACTTGTGAAAAAAAAAATTACAAGTCTTATATTGTTTACAGGACTTGGTGGTTCCTAAAAAGTTAAAAAATGACCACATAAGGTTGGGCATGATGGCTCATGCCTGTAATCCTAACACTCTGGGAGGCTGAGGCAGGCAGATTGCTTTAACTCACAAGTTTGAGACCAGCCTGAGCAACAGTAAGACCCTGTCTCTAAAAATAGCCAGGTGTTGTGGCAGGTGTCTATAATCCCAGCTACTCAGGAAGCTGAGGCAAAAGGATTGCTTGAGCCCAAGAGTTTGAGGTTGCTGTGAACTATGACACCACAGCACTCTTCCAGGGTGACAAAGTGAGAGACTGTCTCAAAATAAAACAAAAAAAGACCATATAACTTAATAATTTCACTCAGTATATACTCAAAGGAACTGAAAAAGGTATGTAAACGAGTTATTTGTACACAAATATTCATTGTAACATTATTCATAATGGCTGAAAGATAGAAACAAATACCCACCAACAAAGAAAATGTTGCCTATCAGTACAATGGAATATTCGCCATAAAATGGAACAAAATAGTAATGCATGCTGCAATATGCATGAATCGTCGGGCAGCACCTATGGTTCAAAGGAGTGAGTAGGGCGCTGGCCCCATGTCCGGAGGTGGCGAGTTCAAACCCAGCCCCAGCCAAAAAAAAAAAAAAAAAGAAATGCATGAATTGTGAAAACATTATGACAGTCAAAGAAACTAGACACAAAAGGTTAAAATACTTCATCTATATTAAGTGTCCAGAACAGGTAAATCCAATAGAGACAGAATGCAGATTTGTGGTTGCCAGGCGTTGGAGAGAGGGAAGAATAGAGAGTAACCGCTTGATGACTACAGAGTTCTCTTTGGATAATCAAAGTGTTTTCAACCTACATAGAACTGGTGGGTGCCCAACACTGTAAATATCCCAATGTCACTGACATGTTCACTTTCAAATGGTTCACTTACGTAACGTGAATTTCACCTTAATAAAAGAGAAGAGGATGAACTGGGCAACTTAAGAGTTCCAATCAACACAGATTAACAGTAACTAGATTTACCTTCCTCCCTAGGACAACCAGAAATGTACAGAACAGTTGTTTTCAAGATCAAGCACTAAGAAAAGTGATCCCCAAGAGCTGGAAACTAATGAAATGAGCCTTTTTGTTGCCCCTGCTCACTATTGTAAGATTTTCCAGGCTGTGACAAAGGAAGAGGAAACTCAAGAGTCCAGCAAACTTCCTGAGCTGAGAGTCTGAGGGACTCATGCAGCCAACATTCAAAGCACGTAGTACAAGAAAAAAAAGTTCTGCACAGAGAAAGAAGTTTGAAGATCTATAGGGGGTTCCCTTAAGTATACAGCTGAACACTGCTCAGAATGTACAAGTGAGGAAACTACTCAAGACCAGGGAAAAAGCCACCCAAAAAGCTTGAACAGTAACTAGATTTACTAGTTACTTTACTAGATTTTGTTAAAGCCAACAAAAACCTTTCACATTCAGAGTCACTGGGACTGATCATTGCTCCAGTTCTGCCTAACAAATCTTAACAGCAAGACCTGAAAGAAATAACCTGCTTCCAAGTAACCTGTGTCTCATAAAATATTTATAAGAAAACAAAAATTTGGCTCGGCGCCTATAGCTCAACCGGCTAAGGCGCCAGCCGCGTACACCTAAGGTGGCGGGTTCGAATCCCCAGCCCGGACCCGCCAAAACGACGA